CGTTTCTCGATACTTCGAATACCATACGACTTTATTACGAATTTATTTTCATTGTACTTTCGAGTGCGTTCGTTGGTTACGTAACGCAAAGGGGGGATAACATGTGATATACGCGATCGTCGCGTATGAAATCTGATCGGATCGTGGCCGGATCGGATACGGATCTGTATCCCTCGTGATTCGGCGAACATTAACAGGATTACATGGGGCGAAAACACGGCGCCATTGAATACGTACTCTGTTTCGCTTTCGTCGACCTTTCGCTTTCTATACGTCCGCGAGCTCCTCGCGCTTCTCGGTGCCTGGTCGTTAACATCTGTATCATTCGCGGGAAAATTTAGGGTATCGCCTAAGTACTCGAGCACCGCGCTCTCTCCGGTGGTACACAAAGTAACCGAGGCGTCTGCAGCGAAGAGCCACGAGGCGTGTTACTGACGTTTATTACACTCGCCCGCGAAAACACGTAATATCGAAGGTCTGTCCGCCTGTCGCGGATCAATACCCAACGACCCCGACATTCAGAGACCCTCCTCTGCATCACTGCCACCTCCTCCTCCTCCCCATCCCTCTACCTCCTACCACTTCGGTCGGTTCATTCATACTTCCAGTTGCCCCCACCTCTGCCACCCCAGTACCGTAATAACCCTCCCGATTATCGTACGGCTTTACAAAGGCTTTTGCTGTATGTCTTTTTATCTCCTGACACATGAAAGTAATATATATTTAATGAAAGCGCAAACGCGCATAACTGCGACGGTCCCCAGCGCGCTTTACTTCTGAACGATAAGTAGAGAACGATAAGTAAGATTAGGCAAGTCACACTATAGAAATATCATCGAATCAAGTCTTTTTACAAAAGAGAAATCGGATTACTATGTTTCATTCGTTTGCGATTTTGTGAGCATTTTCCTAACGCTAGTTAGCAATATATGCAGAGGAAAGGAAGTAACAAACGGCAGGATGCAGACAACAGATAGAGTCTGTGAGATAAGTCACCCCCATATCGCGCATTTCTTCCTGTCGGCTCCCGGTACAAATGCGGATGTTCGTTCGTCGCGTATATAGGCCACATAAAGAAACATACTCGTGGCATGTGGTATATCCGAGATCGAGACTAAGCGATGATATTATCGATGCTTCACAGGCAGCCTGGCGAGCGAGGACCTCTCTCTGGAAGAGGCGACCGCGGAGGAAGACGAAAACGGCGCATCTGCCGGCAGGGATCACCGGCATCACCATCATCAGGACGCGCGAAACGCTGTGACGTCGAACGCGCCCTCCTCGAGCAGCCCGCCGTCACGCCACCATCAGACTCAGGACGAGGCGGATCGCTGCAACGCGCTGCAGGGTGGTGTAATTTTATACTCACCGCATTCCACGTCCACCGTGCCCGCGACGAGCGTGAATATCTGCAATGTACCAACGCTGACCTATCGCGGCGTTTTCACCACGACATGTACGCAGTCGTCACCCCTGAGCAATCTCCAGGGCGACCAGCAGCAGCAGCAGCAACCGCAGCAGCCGGCGGGTCAGGAGCTGTGGGCGCCGTTACCTTCGCCAACCTTAACCTTGGCGGGTCAGCCGTTCCTTCACCCCAATCTACATTCGACCGCGTACAGCGGCGAGACCGTTGAATTGCTGCAGGTCGATTCGAAACCACCCCCGCCGCCTGGTTATCACGACACGGCGACTACCACCCCCGCGACCTGGCTGACGGGTCACGAGGACGCTTACGATCCTGGTCTCCTCTCCCATCATCACCCTCACACACATCATCAGGAGACGACGTTGAAGCAGGAGCCAACCGGCACCGGTTACACTCCCAACGTACAACAGCCGCAGCAGACTCAAGCGCAGACCCAGCAGCAGCAACAGCAACAAGCTCCGCCGTCTGCCACCTGCGGCTCCACGGGGGTCCAGCTGGCCGAATACAATCCGAGCACGTCGAAGGGCCACGAGATTCTCTCTCAGGTCTATCAGCAGAGCGCCTTACCGCTTCGATTAGTCCCTGTGAAGCCGCGAAAGTACCCGAATCGACCGAGCAAGACGCCGGTCCATGAGCGGCCCTACGCCTGTCCGGTGGACGGCTGCGATCGCAGGTTCTCTCGCAGCGACGAGCTCACCCGGCACATACGCATTCATACCGGGCAGAAGCCCTTCCAGTGTCGCATCTGCATGCGCTCGTTCTCGAGGAGCGACCACCTAACCACCCACGTGCGCACGCACACCGGTGAGAAACCGTTTTGCTGTGATCAGTGCGGCCGAAAGTTCGCCAGGAGTGACGAGAAGAAACGCCACGCGAAGGTGCACCTCAAGCAGAGGCTGAAGCGCGAGGCGTCCCACGCCAATCCGAGAACCCATCACCAGAGCCACGCGTCGTCACCCTGCAATCAATGAATTCCATGACAACGACATGTTGATAAAGTCCCCTTTAACGTTGAGATCTCATTACGTTTGTCACGTTCTGACAAGTTGTGATCTATGTCTCCCCGAGTCTATCTCTCCTCCTATTCTCCTTTCC